CAGGGGAAGCAGGAACCAACATTTGGTAGGTAAACTGGGCAGCTTTTTATGCAAATATATATATTTTTAGTGTTCTATTTATGAAAGATTCCCTACAGACACTAAAACAATAGTCTATCCCATTACTGCTCCCTCTGAATATAAACATTACTAAAGCGCTTTTTGAAGATTCTACCTCAACAATTACACAGAAAGCTCAGAAATACACCTTGTAATTGAATGTGAAGAAAAGCCTATGCCCTGCTTCTTATCCCTTGACCAGGCACACCTCACAGGCTATGGCAACACAAGATATGAAATAAAAAGAAATTAGATACAGTATCAAAATGCAGTGCCATATTTCCTAAAATATTAATTCTTCTGCTTCCACAATTCCTATACCTACATTCTCCTTCCCTTCTTTCAACCTTCCTAGTCCAGGTTCACCTCCATTCCCATATCTCATACTCATTCCTCTCCACTGTTTTTTTTTTCCCCCACACTATCTCCTCCATTTTATGTTTCTTCCCTCAAATCCTACTTTCTGCCTCTCTCCTCCAATGCTTCTTATACATTTCCTTCCTTTCATAGAAATACTTTCTCATCAACTGCATTTTAGTCTCTGCCTAAGCAAGGATACTAAGCTACAAATAAAAGTATTTTTATTTCTTTCTTAGAAACTGGAAGCCAGGCCAAATTAACCTGATATTAGTTTTCAACACCAGTTCACATCTTCAGCTCTAAACCCTCAGCGTAGAAGTGACAACCATAAAGTCAAAAACCCCCAGTTTCCTTGTCAATCCATAGTTGTTTCTATAGTAGCCTTGCTTTCTGATTTTTAATTTATTAAATGGTAAAACAAATATAAACTTCTAACAACTAGTATATTCAGTGAAAAAAAATAACCTAGTGAATGCACATTATTTGGTACCAATTGAACAATACTGGCTTAGAAACTAATATAGTTAAAATGATGCAACTTCCTAGCACAAAGACGTTACATCAATATCAAAGTGCTTACTTCAATTTTGGATACAACCCCCTGAATACAACACAGATGTCTGCAGTTTTCGGTACATGTAAACAGCACCTATACAAATAGGTGTTAATGAATCTCCAATTTGCTGACAATAAATTAAAACAATAACAAAGGCTAATAAAGACTATTTCTTCATATACTTTGTATTTTTAAGTGCTCTGTTTTGGTGACACATGCTGCCGTCATTCCGTAAAAATGTTGTATTTGGGTACATGTAAGTCACTACAGAATTTTTTCTCTTTTTCATCTAAAACTTGCCCTGGCCTATCTCATCCTCTCAGTGGTCAGAAGCAGTTGTACTCAAATTGACATCGGCAGTTGTGTTAAGTCTTCAGCCAGAGACGATGGCCAGAGCACAATTCTTATTGCAGTACAGAACTGGTTACTTCTAGGTGCATGAAATCATGGTTATGATATGTAATGGCACTATGATTTTTTCTTCAGTGACAGTAATAACGGAGTACTGCACACAGCTAACAAAACCTGTCAGATATCTGCCATCAAATGTTTATGCTATTAACAAATATCAAAACTGTATTAAAATTTTCCCTTAAGACTCATTAACAATTTCCCTGATTGAACTAATAATGCACACAGTCTTTATCATTGTGCGGAATGTCAGTTATTCTGCAGTAAAAGCACATCAGCAGAAACCCTGTGTCCTGAGTGCAGCTGGTATCACAAATCGGTTGAAGTACCACTGAAACGCTCAACATATAAAAGCACTCCAATCAGTGCTTGTACTGCACCGTTCCCCTGGGAATCTGGATCCCCAGTTCTCTAAAATGCTCAGTGGGCATGTAATAGCATCATCCAGCTGTTGGTGTAGTTTGGGAAGTGAGAAGCATCATACCAAGGATTTAGACAAGAAGTCAAGGTCTGCTGTCAGGGCTGCTTTTTTCGTCGAGGATGAAAGTTGCCTCTGTCTCCTGCCCATGGAATTCTCATTACATTATGATATGCTGCTTCTCCTCTGATGAGTGGCTTTTCTTTGTGAAAGATCCTCACTGTCACTTTCACAGTTTCTCTGAAATGGAAAGGCCACAATGTTTCAGTCACGCAAATGAGATACCATGCTCCTAAGCACGATGTTCTAATATCATTAGTGCATATTGAGAAAAGTAGAACTAACAGAAACCTCACAGAGTTTCCTTCCCGAAGGTCACACGCACTGCAGGGCTCCCCCACCCTCCATCTTGTGCTGGGCACAAGAGCAGCAGCGCAGACTCTCTCTGTGACGGCCCATTTCTCAGTCAGACAGCACAGTCAGTGCTATGGTATCCAAACATCATCTGCAGCCTCCATGCTGCTCCTTTAAAGAATAAATGTGGCTAGCACCTAAAGGGTTTATAGAGTCAACAGCTCCCCTTGCCCAACATTTCTGTCACAGTAACACAACTTACAGCAGCATTAAAGACACACAAGGGATGCCACGGTTCCGCCTGTTTTCCCACTCAAAACCATTGCCACCCTGTTGGGCTGTGCATCCATACAGGGACAGCCAAAATCACTGCGCAGTAAAATTGGTCTTTCTCTTCTTCCTGTTTGAGGAATGTACCTACCAAACTTTCATCTTCTATTAGGACCTTTTTCACCAGCGACCGAGATAAGTGGTTGCACAATGAGACAATACAGTAAGAAAGCTATGGAGAGAGGGAAGAATGAGTATTTGACCACACATATGCAGTGCAGACATATCCAAACACATTTCATTTATCTACTGCACATTACAATTTTACATTCAAGCTTTCTTGCCCTCTGATCCCATCAGGCTTGGGAAGCCTTACATGACAAGGATTAAAGTCTCGCTGTCATACCTTCCATCGCCTTCTAGCATATTGCCTTTTGAAGTTTTCCATGTTAACAACAGATGCTTGCCGAACCAAAGCCTGTCGCTTGTCCACTGGCTGGAAGATAAGAGAGCAATTTTATTGCTTGGCTCCCTTTGGTACATAAAATAAATAAGTTTCTTCATGTGCTTTGGAGCTGGCTGAAAAGAACGCTCTCTGGGGAAGCTGTGGGTTCATACAAGTAAAAGCAGAAGAAAAGTAATTAAATCTATCCCACCCTATGCCTGGACAGGAACCCTTTGATCTTAAACAAAATAAAAAGATGAGCATACAGTCAGTGGTCACATGTGACCCTGTGCACAAAGTTGTTCAGAGAAGTTCCACAGCTGCCCCTGTCCAGCCACTCAAACTGGCACAAAAGGTGCATCACATGGCTCGGACTTTGCTCCAGCCTCCACTTCTGCCTTCTGCTTCATAATCCACACAGAAGGCAGTGAAAAAGTCTGGGAACAGCTTTTCTAGCCAAAGGACAGCATGAAGGGCAACAAAACAGAAGAGAGAGGTAACTAAGGGGATGCTAGAGTGTACTGAGGCAATGCTTGCATTTTGTAAAGTTGCTAAGGTGCTTCTCGGTCCACACCTGCACCATCTCCATTTTCTCTGGATTGAGTTCATATCAGCTGGCCTTTATTCATGTCTCCGAAAGGCATTGGGATAGCAACAAAGAGGTTCCACAGAGGCCTGACAGAAAGGAGATGGAGCTGTTGTCAGCGCATCAACGGCACTGCAGCACACTGCTGCTCAGGGGATTTGCACATGCTTGCTAGAAAGCATGACAGAATAAGACTAAACCCAGCATCATCACACCATTTGGTCCCGTGCTACCTTCTAAATTTTCAGATAAAAGCTTTCACATTTTGCCCTTTACAAGGATATTTTAAAACCAAAGATACATTAAGGCCCGTTGCTAACTTCTAGCATGTGACTCTTCATCTTATTCTAGTGCATTTTTCCTGAATTGTGCTTTTGCAGGTTTTTCTTTTACCAGGCTGATTTAAACATCATAGGTAAGCTTGAGGCAGTCATTTCAAATCTGAAGATGGAGAATATGTGAATTCACGTGACTGTAAAATATGGAATAACTTCAGAGAGCACTAGCTATACTCTACCCAAATATTAAACCGCCACCAGAGAGTAGAGACCTTTTCCTGTCTCTCACAAAGCTGGTTGATAAAACCCTGCCTGCTTACCAAAATCTTGGGAAGGTTCAGGTAACCTACCACTGTGAGTAAGTCTGAGAATGACAGATCTCAAGCAAAATTAGAAGGTGACCCAAGGAAATTAAATCCATGACCAGCTTTGGTCAACACTGGACTCGCCAGGAACCACAGACCAGCTGAGTTCGGAAGGGGCCTCTGCAGATCATCTAGTCTAAGCCCCTGCTCAGGGCAGGGGGAGCTACTGCAGCTTGCCCAGGACCACATCCCACTTGGGTTTCAGAGGACGGAGACTCCACAACCCCTCTGGGTAACATGTTCCAGTGTTTTGACTGTTCCTTTAGTAAAAAAGTTTGGGTTTTTTCTTTAATGTTTAAATGGAATTTCTTTATTTCAATTTGTGCCCATTGCCTCTTGCCCTGTCACTGGATGCCACTGATGAGGGCCTGGCTTTGTTTTCTTTACTCCATTCTACCACGTATTTATACAGATTCAAGATTGCCCCCTTGAGCCTTCTCATTTTGACACTAAAGAATCCCAGCTCTCTTGGCCTCTCCTCCTTTGACAGACAATCCAATCCCTTAATCATTTTCACAGCATCCCATCAAACTCATATCAGTATGTTTTGTTGACATCACCATAATAAAATGAGGGAAAGTTAGTTGTCATTTAGTATTAGTGATGAGGATACGTGCTATAGCATATCTGAAAAAACTCAGGCTTTGTCCTTTAGCCATGCCCAGAGCATGACAGCAAAAGACATCAATACTCTGGCAATAAATATATGGGGAAAGGATTGCAATACCTATGGAGAAAAAGGAATAAAAAACCCAAACATACATACATACATATATATATATATATATCTTGATATCAGAATTCAGACATGTGCCTAAAATATTTGGATGCCAATCTGGTGTTAAGGAACAGATGTTCTGCAAACCCTGACACAGTCCGTCTGAAAATGAAGCACCTTTGAATCCCAAAACCACATCAAAATTTGAATAGACCAGAAAACTGTTTCTGACAGATTGAGAAGAGAAAAAAAAGTTCAAAACCAGATCTGGTAAAAGTGAAAAGAGAGAGGGCGGGAATCAACCCTTGAAAGATTATGGAGTTTATGGAGTATCAACCATTTCAGCAGTTCTGATCTGCATATGTAGGAGGTGGATAACCCAGAAATATTTACACTGAACTGGAATTCAATTATCAAGCCAGACACCTGAAGAAGCAAGAGTACCAAAGGAGAATGGAAGACACATCAGTGAAGATCTAAACTTTTTTTTTTTTTTTCAGCAACATCATTTGTAAAGTTTATAAAACAACAAACTTACTTTTCTCATCAAACGCTACAGGTATAGCATTTGTGCAGATATCTCAGCAGTAATTCAAGGAGCCAAGCTATCAGCTAGGCCTCTTTCTCATTTAGATGTACCATTTGCATACAACAGAAATGGGACATTTAAGCAGTAAATATAATTTCCGCATGCTGCAAATGGCTAGCATAGTGCAACAAAACACTGACTAGAAATCAATTTGAAGTGGAAAAAATGTCACTGGCTAAATGTCAGCTATACAATCATCATGAAAAATTTCTAAGTGCCCTTTCAGCAGTAGAACCATGAATCAAAATAGCTCACTTCACAGTACTCCAAGTAATAACTGCCTCTCAATTTCTAAATAGCCTGCAAACCAGTGACCTTGTCATTTTCTCAATCATCAAAGTATCTTCTCAAAAGCAGTATGTCAGTGACCTCCTTCAGCTCAGAGAGCACTAGCCTCAAGGACTGAGTCACAACAATATTAACCTCATCCAAACATGCTCAGGAACAGAGTGGCCTGATTTAACATTCCTTCTCATCATGCCAGTGCATTTGTTCATAAAGAAAATCTGTATGAACAAAGAACATGAGATCACGGCTGGGGAAAGGCAGACTCTCTTTCTTGCAAGTCCTTTCTAAAGGCACATATTAACTATCAATAGGCTTTAAGTTACTTTTAAGAATTAAAACCTCCCTCAAACAAAAATTCGGTTCCCCTAGACAGTATCGTGGGTATTCCAGCTCAAAGGAACCTACAGAAGTAACGACTGAAGCGTTCTGCAAGAATAAAACATGGACATAAGTAATATTCTCAATACTATTTGTCACAGTTGAGCCCAATTCTCACCAACCACCAACACCAGCTTGTTAGGGACATCTGGCTATCTACAGGACTTCAGAGCTTTTGAAATCCTTACATCTTGTGCAAAGAAAGATGCCACAGATAGCACATCCAGTTTCCATCCTCCACCAAGTACATTTGCAGGAATAACAATACCTCTATTGAATAACTGTTTTCAGAACTCTGAATTTTCACCAGCCTCTGCACGCCTTTACGAGGACATAGTAGTGATGGGTCCATGGTACTCTACACAAGTGGGATAAGAGTATGCTTTTATCTTTTCATCTCAAAGTAGGAACCATTATTCTTAATAATGCTATGAACAACAACATACAATTTAGTTACGCCATTCGCTTCTCTAGAAAAGGAGGAGGGAGGATGGGCAGTGAAAGACATACTCTAATATATAAAAAAAGATTCACTCCAGATGGACTTGAGCAGTGATGCAGGGATACATGGCTTCCATCTCACTGTTTCCTGTAGCTGCGTAACAGCTCCCTTGCAGCAAATTCATACAGTTAAGCAAAGGGGCTGTAAATTAGCTGCAGAACCTAGGCTGGTAACTCTTCCCAACAGAAGCTTGAAATCTCTTTTTCAGTCCCTAACTAGACAACCAGAGAACAATTGCATCCTGCATAAATAACTATTTATTGTGTCCAAAACCAAGATGGGTACACCTGTACGTATTAATACATTATAATCAAGTGACTCCTTTGAAATATAAGACAGCAGGGCATGATTCAAATTTGGGCCAACTTTTCTTTTACTTTCTAAAACTTAAGAAAAAAAAAATTTTCACACCAAGAACCATGGATTCAAACTCCACACCACAGATTAAATTAGTTGCAGCTTTGTCATCTTCTTTACTGTAGAAAGCAAACCAGAGGTCTACATTATCATTTATCACTCACAAATTAATATTTGCACTGTAAAATTACGTATGTAGTTGTCTGATCAGCTCATTACATGCTCGCAATTTTGTCTTTTGAACAAGATTTCATTGGTATAGAACATGAAATTTAGTTGAATTTTAAACTAAAGGATTAATCAACAGCTAACACCTTGGATGGTAAAAGATTTCACCCTGCATAACAGGCCTAAGATATAGTCTTAACTTTTTTTCATCAGCAGCTATTTCACAGAGAGTTTCCACAGTACTAGCTAAATCTTAAATTACTACACCATTTACTTTGTTTTACGGGACAGACTTAACCTTTGCAAATATTTCTCTCATATGGTCTATAGAACTGCCTGCTGGAGGTCTACACGACTGTTTCCTTCATCCAACCAAAGATGCTATCATGAGATTTTTATTAGTTTTCAGGCACTCAGATTCTACTAAGACTGACTTACTCTTTATTCCAAGTCAATTACTTAGTAATGTTCAGGAGCTATAATACATGAAGTATTATGATATAGGCAACGCAAAAGGCTGTAGGGTTAGATGTGTCCATACCACTGTGATAATCTAGTTCCTGTAAATTCAGACACCAAACATGGAAAAAAAAAACTTCATCACTACAAACCACTGGCAGTTTATGGTTTTGGTCAGCAACTTGTGCAATATGTTAGAATTTCTATTTTAATTCTAGGTGATGTTTTTGTGTAGAATCTATGCACTGAAAACTTTAAACTGCTTTACGTTGAAACACGTAGCAAACCCTGCACCTAACCTGATCTATAACATTACTGATTTGATTCTGCTACATCAAGATTCAACCCTGCAAGGAACTCTTCACAGCGAGATCTGTTTAACAGCTCCATTACTGATTCATTAATATCTTTGTTGAAAACAGAGTCAAAGTTTCCATTCACACAGGCTTCATTTTCCAGTTGAAAACTACTCATTAAATCCTGTATCCACTTGAGTTCCTCAGAAAGTTCCCGACTGAGAGATTCATACTGATTCTGCAGATCAGCGTATTTCCCGGTTATGCCTGTGAGACTGGCGCCTACAGTCTTGATATCATCTTGTAGATTTCTTTTCAGGGATTCAATTTTGCGGTATTCATACTTCAGCTGAGACAGCTTGTGCCTCACGCTTTCGTTCTCTTCTTTATACCAAGCTTCTTTCTCATTATAAATGGAAACCAGAGCTTCAATGTCCTCCTGCAAGGAATCGTGGGATGCAGCCAAAGTGCCGAAACCCTGTTCCGTAAGTGAAATGTCTTCTACTACCCGGGCAAAGCGCTCAAAGTTGATGTAGGTGTTGTTGGGAGGCATACTCGAATGGCACTTTATGGTGTACTCTCTCAGGCGTTTTGTCTTCAACTGTGTGTTCTCGACCTTCTTGTTTTCTTGGACTTTTGTGTCTTCTTTCAGCTGGTGAGTCGTCAGACAGAGGAACCAATATTACTCAACGTTTAAAAGACAGTGCAGTAATTCAAAAATTCTACACAAAGGATACAGCCTGAACATCAACAATGCGGGGAGATTCTTTGCTCTCACAATTTTCCTTCATGCATTTGATTAAAATTAAAAAAACAACAAACACACAAACCCAAAACCACATGTGACAAGTGATGTGCATTCATTCCATCGTGATAAGTGTAAATAACAGGTTGCAATTTGTTTTCACGTTAATTTTTAGCAGTTAACAGTCACAAAGCTACCAATATTTGTAAGAAGAAAAATATCAATCCTGAAAACACTCCAGTTAATGTTTTGTGCAATGCAAAGCAAAACCTGAATTTCATCCTCATTAGTCATGCTGAGATTACCTAACTCTATTTTCAAGAGACTTATCCACAAAAGCAAGCAATGATGTTTATGATGAAAGTTTATGATGAAAAAACACATACAGACACACAAATGTAAGACAATCAGCACACTTGGTACAGTAGTTATATCTTGAATCATTTGCAGAAATCCAAGGACTTAGTCAGACCCAACCAATTTCTTCCCAGTTCATCTCTGAGACACCTAAGGTCTCTAAGTACTTAGAGGTCAGTTTTCCATTTAACACACCAACAGGAGCAAGAATATCACCTCTGCTTTGCTCATGTTAAAAAATTTCTCTTTATTCAGTCTTACCGTTATCCATGGATGAGACAGAGCTTCTTGAATGGTAAGCCGTTTCCTAAAAAATACCATCACAAGGAAAAAAAAAAAAAAACTGTCTTGAATGAGAAATATCTGGCACACAAGTCCATTGACCTGCACTTCTCCCAGGCTTCATATGAAGGACTTCTCAAGATAATGACAGGACTAACTCTCAGATTTCAGGGTTATGTTTCTCCATAAGGCATACTGCTTGTGTGTAGTTTAGTAATTGTCCTAAGTTTCAGAAAGGAGCTGTGCTCACTCCACACAATTTTAATTCTTACTTGCTCAAAACCTACCTGCACTTTTGTGTACCCTTCCATAAAAAGTGACAAAATATTACTTTGTTTGTTCATCCTACATGCTTAGAAAATAAATTCCTTCCATACACCTTTAAAACGACTATGTCTGAATCAATGTATACAACATCAACTATGTCAAAACTGTCCCCCAGAACACAGTATTACATCACTGCAGAGGCTACCGTTTCCTGAAAGCAACATTTCTAAGCATAATACTTCAAAACTAATCAAACTTGATCAATCTGAACTTTCTCCTGCATTGTGGCAGTTTGGTTAACAGCACATTAAGAGCACTGAGGATCAAACGTAGAAACACAGCCTTGCACAGGGTCTGCCTCTATCCATGGAACAAATATCAGTATCACTGACGTGTCCCTTCTTAAAAGGAGGCTGCTAGACCTGTGAAAACCTCTTGGCAAGCCCCCACCTACCCTAGACTATTCTGGATTTGCAGAAATCTTGGCCGAACAGCTTGCCTCTTTCTCTCTAATACCTGCTTTCTCCCTAATGAAGCCAATAGAAAGCCTGACTTCACTCAAGGACAAAGAGGGTTATGAGGAATGAGATGATATTTCTACATGCACTTTATTAAAAGCAAGAAAAACTAAAAAAGGGTCTGCGGTTCCTATAAACTGGGCATAAAGATATCACACAAATTCTAGGCGATTGCAACAGATGCAGTGAGACTTAAGGAACAATTCCACTGTGAGCACATGTGAAGATTTTTCTGCCCTTGCACTGCTGGGAGCATATTCTGTGATATTGTCACCTCCTTGCAACTAGTTCATAATAGGCTGAAATATTGGAGTGGTAGTTATCCTGAACTAGAGATTTTGCTCACCATTTTCAGCGCTTCACTTACTCCCTACTGCACTGGCTTGACTCAGGTGAGAATTCAGTCCTGAAAGTGAAATTTAACTGAGGACATTTCATTCCTTTTCTTAGAATTTCTGGGTGCAGCGATTAACTAGGGGCACGGCAGCATCCTCCTGTCTTGCTCCTGAAGGGCAAGACACACTGCAGGGAAAGCTTTGCAGATTACGCTTCAGGCTACATTTCATCAGATTTATCTTAGAGACAGATGGATCTTTCTGAATTTTTACTTACCGTGTATCTTTCACCAGGAGTTTCTGAATAAAATCTTTTGCCAGATTACTAGTACTGCTGAAAAATTCTTCATCAAATTCATAATTCACAGCTGTGATGTTGGCAAGTGTTTCCTGTTTAGTTTCTCCAAGGAAAGGTGATGCACCACTAAGCCTAGATAAGCCAGAAAGAAGAATCAGTTGGAAAAGTAACAGCAGAGGTCCCCTAATGAAAATACAGTGACTGCGTAATATACTCTCAGGACATTTGCTGATCTCGTGTTGTAGCAGCATGCCACATGGGAAATAACAGGTCTGGCTTTCGCTCACTACATTTGTGGTTATGAGTCAGACTCATCTTGAAAGTCTCTAATGCAGCATTAATGTGTGCACACAGGTAGAAATGCACAGATTGTCCTCTCCTAGGTGTCTCACTGAAGTCATTGCTAACCAAACTGGAAAAATCCTCAGCTGAGGAGAGTCTCTATCCTTGTGAACCCACAAACACTACCAGGCAGAAGCTTCTAGCAGCTTCACGCAGATAAAGTAGTATTTCTGTAGATTTTCTTTGGGTAGGAAAAGCCCTGCCCCAGCTGCTTTTCTGTCTGCAGAGATACTGACAAGTTCCCTGCACAGTGGGTTCAGCCAAGAGACCTTTCTCAGCTGGAACCAAAATACAATGTGTGATCAGAAGTCAGGTGCGTGGCCTTGCCTAGGGGACAACTCCGCCAGGGAGGTAGGGCCATGCTGCTCATTAAAAGGAATCCACAAACAAAAGGTCTTTGGCTTCAGTAAAATCCAACTGTTTCTGAACAATGCAATATTTCATTCTGTTGGCACTCTGCTCCAACTGCAAGGATATAATGGAGACATCATCATAATAAAACGCCATTCAGCAATCTTTACTTAGACAGAAAAAGCTTTCATCCTGCTTTGTCTCTCTCTCAGCTGTGACTGATGACCTTCATCTCTGATGAATATTTACCTCTGCTCCATAAAACTCAAGTGTCAGAACAGATTCACTGCAAACTCCTCCTGCCTTGCTTTCACTCCCCGCCCCTTCCTCTCACCCCCAATCCATAAGGATGCTGACTTGCAAAAGTCTGGTTTACAGGAAATGTTATTTATGCCAAGAAAATCCATCTCATCCCTTTTTAAAAATCTTCTAAGCTATTATTAAGCTTATCTAGTATGTCTAGCTTTGATAGTATAGTTTCAAGATGCAGCAGACTCAAAACAGGACTGCAGCAAACTCCTGGGATCTAAATGGGAATTTGGGTGTAGACAGAAAGTTAGATGGGACCACGTGGGCATTCGGCCCAGTCCCCAGCTACCATATGTGGTTTTATCCACAGAATAAAAATCTGAGTGCATAAAGTGTTTCCTCTCCCTCTGCAATCATACAATAACACCAGAGCACCTGACACAGGAAGGCAGCACAAGTGAGGTCCTGCAGTTGTCTTTGATGCAGCAAATTTCAGCCCGTAAACCACAGTCAATCTCACTTCGTAACAGGTTTTACATATTCCCTCTTAAGTTTTTCTTCCGTTTCTGTTAGCCACAAAGAAGGCTACAAGCCAGGCACGTCACCAGAGGCTATGGGCGTTGTTCCAAAACTAAATCTTGGAAACCTGCCCTAGAGCCTTGGTTTCTTTTCCCTTTCCCAAAACCATGCCATGAAGCAGCTGTAATTCCACTTTCTGGCCCTTTGCTGGAAGTCAAAGCCTGCAGTGCTCTATTCACCTCAAACATTTTTTTTCTCTTTGGGACTCAGTTTTGAGGTCTCGGAAGTGGCAGGATTCTCAAATTTTAACACCTAAAGCAAATGACTTTTGTTATATCCTGAGTCAGTGCCTGTAGACATCTAACAGCAGACCTCAGTAACAAAGGCTTCACCCTTACAACCAAGTGATTTGCTCCACTGCTTGCTGAATTAAGGACTTGTAGGCATTTTGCTCTCTGCACCTTACGAGGGCATCCATGTTTGCTAAAACAGGCAGTATTAGCATTAAACACACTCCATTTATTCAGAATTTTTCAGAACAAAAGGCTTTAAAATTAACAGGCAAGACTAGTTAAAGGCATACAGTTTTCTAGTACATAGCATATCACGCAAGCTGACCCCACCCATCCTAAAAAGCATGCTCTTCTTTTCTGATAAGTTGTAGGAAGACAATTTTCAACCTTAACTACTGTGGCAACCATTACTAGCCAAGCAGGTAAAACAGATCTACACTGAATACAGTACAAAAACCTGCTTCATTATTCTGCTCCCAAGATAGAACTCTCAACACAATTAAAAAAAAAATTCTCAAGAGCATCTGGCTGGCTGTGCATCACTGTAATTGCATGGTAAGTATTCCCAACTGCTTACCTTCAACTCTTAAGTTTTCCTCTCATCATTTACGAACACACATAAACAGCAAATTATGAAGTTTAATGTCAAGTATACATGTCACTGAAGACCAGAGTGCTGATAAAAACCGAGGATCTGGACAAAATTTTAAACCCCTTTACCTGGGCCTGGGCTCAACCAGCATCCCTATCTTTTTCTGCACCACTGGACAGAAGGGAAGTTGTTGCACTGAATCAGGTATCTCAGACCACAGGTCTTTTACAGGCCTTGGAGTCTAAGCCTTGGATATAGCCCAAAAGAGGATTTAATTCCACTACGTTTATTTTCTACCCTGAAAAGACAATCTCTCCCCTTCAAGCCTCCATACTTGTATTGAGCCCTGAGCTGTGCAGAGCAAATCCCCTTAATACTAGAGTGCACCCTCTAGGTTTGGCAGCAAGTTAGTCCTCTGAGTGGCATAAGGAACAGCAGAAGCCTGGGGTAGAAATGTTTGGGAGAAGCATTTCCAAGCATGCTGCATCCACCATGAGCTGCTCCTCAGCAATCACAGGAGCTTGATTTCAAGGGAAGCAGTTAGGATCCAAGGATCCCTGACCTCTCCTGTAATTTTCATATCAAACCAGAAGAAAGAATTCTTGAAGCAACAAGCAGTGTCCCTCCGCTGCATGAACCTGTTGTTATACAATCGGTTCCACAAAATGTCAAGCTCCTTCTTAAAACTCTCTCAACTGCTTGTCCCCAGGTTGCTCACAGTACCTCACCTCTTTGAGAGTTTGAGCTTGTCATAATTTCCTACTTATTTATTCATCACCAGTTGACACACTTTTCTTATAAAAAGTATCCCTTTTTTCCCCTTGTGCTTACTGACCGAAGTGATACTCCCAGCCAGCCTTTGCTTTACTGGCTTTAACAAGCCATTTTTTCTCCTGTAAGATGAATTCTTGGTTCCCACGGTCAACTTCTCTGCTCCTACCCCAGCTTAAATTCACTTTTTGAATATGAGTGACCATATTTATACATGGTAATCTAGACTGCTGCCTTTACAAACAAATTAAAACTTCCCTGTCTTCACCTGCAATATCGCACCGTGGAAACAGTACTATTACACTTGCTGTTTCTAGTCTCTCCACACACTGGTAGCTCATAGCCTTTCTCTGAGCAACCAGTACACTTGGGTTTTTCCACCTCTACCACCTGGAGCTGATGAGGGCTGATAGGAAGCAGCAATGCCCAGTGATGATAGAGGTATCTGTTCTTCATCTGTTCAGAATGCCCCTCTTCTTTTACCCCTTATTTTAAACTTGAATAAGCTGCAGGACAACCTTGGCCCACTAGACAAACCACTGCCACCATGTGTGTACTCACAGTATGTAGGTGATGACTCCTATGCTCCTAAAAAACAAAGGAGATTAATTGCAGGGATTCTATGTGACCTGTATTGTTCTTAATGTACACCATACAAAAAAGTCAATAGTAGCTGCCATACAGGCAGCAGAGATATCATGGGTTTAGCTAACTGCTAATATCTCTCAAAGAATGGTGTTTCAGAGAAAAATGTGTATTTTACATATAACTTAAAGTAATGTGGATATTTCAAGTCTCCATGTATTTCTACTTTAGCAAGTGTTTACTACAGTGCACATCAGAAATACAAAGAAATAGAAGCAAGGATGTTTTGTCTGGGGTGACTTCTTTTGCCTGCCCTCTCAGCAGAATCAGATTAGTACACAAGTCTCCTCTGCATGCAGTGCTCTTATAAATAAAGCTGTCACAAGCACTGCAGGAACATGTTTTCTTTTAAGAGTGTTCCTCTGCAGTGGACAGTGGCAAACTGTTAACTCTATAACTGCATCATTCAAGTTATTCATTATAATTTTGCAGAAATTAAATGCCTGTCTTTTAATTAGAAATAATGCATAAAAATTGAAAGACAGAATTAACTACATTTAGGTTTTTTGTTTTGTTTTTAATTTGTTGCAGTAGAATGGATTCTATTCAGAGCAAATTTGGAAAAAGTAATAGTAGATAAACCAAGAAAAAAAAACGAAACAAAACAAACATTAAAAACTTACCACATATCGGCAGCTAGTCCAAGTGGTTCATAGTTTACTATTTCTGGAGCTGTAACAAAAATTTAATCAAACATCAGCAACTGATGGAACAAATTTTTACCAGGCTAAACTGAGTAGCAGGTCAAGAATTACCAAGAAGGAGAAAGGGGGGGTGTGAGAAAAGGAAAGGTAGATATAGGATGCACTGTTTAGTTTTATAGCCCTGATAAGAATTCAAGTTCACAGGTGGCCAGAAGAGATTATGTAGAGTAACTTGGAGCATAATGCAACTCAAGAATAAGGGTGAAGAATATATTATATACTAATTACAGTGCAAGTTATAACCAATAACAAATTATTTCACCCCCCAAGGATACTGTTACCCCTAAGAATCTGCACTTCTGTTTTGTTTCCAACTGGTGCCATTAAAACTAGTTTCTAATGCCCAGTCAGAAACAGCCCTTGGGCAAGAGATTGCAATTACCTGCCAGACTACCTTGCTATCCATGTGAAACCTCATTATCTTTATAAGAAATAACTCCTTGTTGGAAAACATCCCTATATAAGACTGAATACAAGAGAAAAGACCAAGGTGAGGTAATGAGATGAAAAAAGGTGTCTGTAACGATTGTGTTCAACTGCAATATGAACTACAATTCCCCTCCCTGCCCCCAACCCCCTAAAACCAACCCCCAAACCTCTCATGGAATTAGTAGAAAGGAGTAGGACTAACGTAAAATCCAAGCAAAACAGATTAGAATTAGGATCAGTAAGTAATGAAAGGAGAATCACGTGGAAAAATGTAAGGGAAGGTGAGGGGTTTGTACTCAACAGCTGTACAGTGTGAGGCAGTTTTATTTAGAAAACAATGATAGAGATACCCATGTAATTGTGTACCCATGTACTACAATGTAGAAATCTTACTTGCTTGCTTGCCCCAGGTAAGTAAGAAATTGTAATTTATATTTGCAGGGTTTCTCAATCTCAATGCTCAATTTATATCTCTAAATATTTGGCAGCAACCTACTCTCACAGGAGTAGCCCATCTGGTTTATAGAAAGCACCTTTCATCTATTCCAGAAAAATAAAGCTAAACTCTAGATTTAGGTCACCTTGATACAAATGAGAATAAAACTACCTCTTATCCCTCACTTCTTAACTTTGAAAAGATGTCTCAACTTCCTCATGGAACTTGCAATACGAGACAAAGGAATGTGTTGGTCACTCACCTACAAATTCTGGAGTTCCAAAAATGTTTTTAAATTCAACTCCATCCTCTATTTTGTGCGCCAGACCAAAGTCAATGAGTTTGATGTGTGGAATAGGGATATTCTTATCTAGAAGCATAATGTTTTCAGGCTAAAAGTAACAAAAGATAGATCTTTGGTATTATAATATTAGTATCTTGGGAAAGTAACAGAGGTCTCAAGTGCTTTTTATTCCTTCACAAATACAACAAGAAACACATACCTGTACCTCACCATTTACAATTAATTCTTTTGATAAAGAGATGACAACTGTGAAATCTGACATCATTGAATGGACCAGAATGTCATAAAAGCAAAGCAAATCTAGTAAGAGTAATAATTCAATTTCTTGAATTTTATCTCATACAAAATCTGCCTTTATCTTCCTGTTAGCACTCCTAAGCTTATTTTCTTCACGATGGCTACTACCAGAATGAAAACAAGATATCCTTGTTTTCACAATGAGGCAGAAGTTTTCCACCCAGATGCGTGTAGTTCCCTAATCTGACAAAATATACCACTAGATTATCGGCCCAGCAGCTTTGTGATGTAACACAAAGTGGAATCCCAGTTTATCTTGTCCCCTGTTAAAATAGCAGATATATCCCTGGCCCACAGGGCCCCCCGGGAAGATGTCACTCTCTGACCCCATGGATTTGCCTCGGTTACAGTGACTGGTGCCTGTGTAACAGCAGCTAGCAGGTAGCTGAAGCAGTGCAGACACCTGGTGCAGAGACAGGCTGCCATGCCTTGATCCTGACAGAGAACTGCACCACTGAGTATTGTGACAGTAATTTTACTGATCTGTTCCTGGAATTTATACTGGGAAATGTCACTCTTTCTGCCCAGCTGTCCCTATACTGTATTGTAACCCACTGGAAGATGTCTTATTAAATGCTTCTTGAGGGGTTCTAGTCACATCTGAACCTACTTAGGGAAGGGAAATATTCTTCTCTATGAAACTAAATTCACAGCCACAACAAGGCCAGGAAAGATCTGGGATTTACTATCGGAACAATCTAGAAAATGGAAAGAGTTGGGATCAGTGGTCCTAACTAATATATGATAGCAAGCTATTAAAAGAACATGTAGCATTTCTCACAGCATTGTAGGGAAACGCCGAAGCTAGAACTGTGAAATTAAAGCTAACATTTTCAGCTGCAGACTTTGACTTTTTTTACCAGATATAACAGATATTTAATAAATTTATTTCTTCAACTACATTTCTCAGCCTTAGTTACTCCCTACCATGGCACTATTTCACAGGTTTCAGAGTAAACTATGGGTTCAATTTATCTCCCATGAAGAGTTTTAATGCATGAATTTGTCATAACTTAATCATAAGCTCAAGAGCAACAACGAGACAGCTTGATTCCCTGCTGGCAGCTGCCGGGCCTTTTCATAGCAGATCCTAACATGGAAGCAGCTCCTGCTAACACATACTCTCAGTCAGAGCTGCACTGGGAAAGAGAGTATATCAATAATTTTTTGTCATAATCATTGGACCAAGAATATTTTAGCCTCTGGCTAACAAGTCTGGTTTTCTTCCATGGATCTAGGGCATATGCGTTCACTCCAGAAACATGATGTAAGCTTGTTTAGAACAGACAGAATAGACTGAAATGGCAAAAAGTCACAGTCGCTACCTCTTGGACTGCTTTATTCCTTAGGTGGTTTAAGTCACTGTAGCTCCACTGCAGTCAAATGGAGCCCTGTCAAGTGACGAGATAATTATGAATCATGCTCTTAAGCAGATCACTGCTTAAAAAATACATTTCTGATTCAACACTAGCAAAACTCCAAATGCAGCCCTATAAAACCCAAGAGAGTTATTCTGTGAATAAGTTTTAGGTCATTTGATATTCACTATCACTGAAATGATTCTTTACTTCTCCTTTCTGATTTCTACCTTGCATTTCTTGCAACATCTTCATTGACCACCTGACATCACTGGTATTAAGTATCAAAACTAGTAGCTAGAGATCAGGTTAGAGAAAGTTGCACCTGTATTTTCACAGTCATTTCATTCCACTTGATATTACACTGGTTTCTAATACACAGACAAAACTTTCAGTCTTTGGCTTCTGGATTCATGTAGTAATTTAAAATGAAGTACACATCCTTTATATATTCACATATTTCCTATGCTTTTTCACACGCAGCCTGTGAATATTTGGATGGTGGATTGCTAACCATTTTCTTAGGTTAGATGTGATTTGAAACAATTACATATATGCCATTAACAATGACTCAAGACCAAGCAATTTCAGACAAAGAGCGTGAGGCACACATTTAGCACAAGGAATCCTGAGAATCTGGGAGGAGTCTACCTATAGCACACACATAATCAATAATTAGTAATAAACTAACCTGGATTTAAAGTTAGGACATGGAACACGTAACCTAGCAGTAGAGTTTCTACCTTTTTTCTTCATTTTAATACAGTTCCCTCCTCTGTTTTATTCTACTTTCTCCTAGGGGATAAGTGCATTCTTAATGTATTTCTGGAAGCAGCAATGTTTGAGGCAGCCAGTTCTGTAGCTGTGAGTCTGCTGCTGAGAAAGCACTTTCTTCCAGACCAACAGTTTCACTCCCAAGGACAACAGACTCCTAGCTTCAGAGAAGCTTCATGTTCACCTAGGTAGGCCACAATCAAAAGGAGACAGGCTCTTCTGTATTGTCTAGGCCAGTCATTCTGATATCAAAGTCAAGGACCAAAGCCATAGATGGCACTTGATATGGTAGGAAGAGAGCTCTGTGTGATGTGCTTTCAAGGCCCTAAGTAGCTAAGAAAGCAAGAAATCTTTCTGTTAAGCAGACTGCATTGGATGACACATTCTCCTGAAGTCATTCTAAACATAGTGGGAACTGGAAGAGCAATAGTTGTTTGTAGCTGGATCCGGCCATCCTCTTCACAAAAATGCATTTCTTCTGTATGTCATTCTAATTTTTTTTTGTTGTTATTTTTTTAAAACAGCGTGCTTTGGATGATACCACAGAGGCAAAATAGCTGAAGGATGAAGACTTCCAGTTTCTTTTTCTCAGTGAGTAAATATATAAACCCATCCAAAAGTTAACATAGGCCTGATAAAGGAAATTGTCGTCTTTGAAGCACTGAGCTAAGAAGTGCATTTAAAATGGTCTTACCTATTATTTTAGGCATGTTATCAAATACAGATATCTAAAAATTTGTAGGAGGTATAGTTCATCATTAAAAAACAACAAGTCTAAATCAGCATCTTTACCTTTAAATCAAAGTGAGCAATTTTCTTAGAGTGAAGGTAATTCACACCATCCAAAATCTGCTTGATGAATCTGGTTGCTTCCTCCTCACTCAGAGACTCCTTCTGTGCCAGGAAGTCAAAAAGTTCTCCTCCAGAAACCCTGCAAAACACACCAGAAAACGTCCTGCGATCTACTGCATTGTGAGACATAAAATAAACGTAAGCACAGAAAACTAAAGTAGCAAAAAACCTCCATACAGTTAGAAAAAGGCCACTCTTGCAGACAATCTAGAGTTTTGTGTTCTGGTCCCAGGTGTACCAAAACTTCCTTTTGACTTCAACTCTCTCCCTTTGGGAGGTAGTCCTTAGGGAAAAGACTACATTTCCCTAATTCATTGATGCTTCAAGGTTTGATTCATCAAGGATTATAACAGACCAAAAAAAGGTACATTGTTTGACGACTCTACAGACATGCACATATTTCAGTAGGATGACCACTTCAACTGTTATTTTTCAACATTTTCATTTTGTATGAGACAGAGGAAATAGAACAAGTTGTAACAGTCAACAACCATTAAAGAATTACTTCTCTTATCAGTTACCATCAGGAACATGAGGCAGTAAGATGTGCCAAGAGAATCTCTTTTCTTTCCAGAAAAGCCATTACACTGTTCTAATAAAGATTCTTGCCTGACATAACTGACAGGAAAGCATTTGTTTTATGCTGAATTTTTAAAAAGAAAGCAGATTGCAGTAGCTTGGAAGATACCCAAAACTGTTTTCCCAAATGAAGGACATGCTATTAGTTATTATGAGTTTTCACACTAAAATTGAAATACATTCCATGCATATTTAGTACATAAGACTTCTATTTTAATTTTTGTGCCTCATATTGAGAGCTCTAGTGCTACTTTTCTATATACTGAATTGGACATTGTTTGCAGTTGCTATTCATAATTATGTTTACATTTATTGTTTCCAGTTCACACTGTCATTGATATAATTGACTTATTATCATTTAAATTTACTGCTGGGGGCACCCACAAAGTGGATGTTTCTCTTGGGCTCAGCTGTACCACCCATCTGTGCTCACCATGCAGAGTGCAAACGCAAGACTTGAGAGATCCAACAGTCCTTCTCAAAAACAATCTTTTGACCCTGTTGTGTGATGAAATACCTCTAAAAGAACTGGCAGGTTCAAATGCTTTAACTAAGTGCTGTGACTCACAGACAAGCTAGATCACACTGTCCACTGCAGAGGTCTGTCACGCAATCATTCCTCTGACCCCAGGCTCCTATACAACACTGGTGGTGACAAGCTGGTGATTCCCTACTCTGCCTCTTTCATAGTAATCTACTGTAAACAACTACAAAAACTGCAAAGAAAGTCAACTGCAAACAAGAACAATGTGTCAAAAGCCACAAAGATATTGGGCTTATTTCTTAGCTTCTACTGTTGCTGTGGGTGACAGCATACCTTGCTGTTCCAAAGGCAGGCATTTACACAAGGCCTATTGACTTGAGCATTGATTATTTGATATTTTTTCACGGCTCCCACAGAGTCAGAAACTTTCTAAGCAGCATAAGGCAGGACACTTCACTTGGGCAGACATCACCTCACTTCACCTGGGCAGAAGTCACTTGATGCTTTAATTGTTACAACTAAATGGTTGGCAAACAAAAATAAGCTTATATGACCCAGGAATGTGTTGCAACTGCTGTCTCTGGCTGCTACCTCCTCCTTCCTACTAATCTCAGTTACTCAGCCTGGGAGACTCTAATTTGGCCTCTGATTTTCCGTTTTAGGTGACACATACCAAGGGTATCAGCACTGCCATCAGCCTTGCTGGACAGGTTTTGTTTCATCCTGTGCATTTCAGGAGCCAGGGAACACTGTCTTCTTTCTGTATTGTAGCAGGTTTAGGGCCTTTGGTTCATTAGTTGAAAAATTATTACAGCTGACTGGGACAAGCCAGTAAAGAAATCTGTAAGTAAATCCTGGTAGTCTCTTGGTGAAATCTGTGTACAAAGAGCAGGCAAGTCCTATTTCCTTAATGATTGCTATTCAAACTGCACTTCAGCAATCACCTCTGGCAGGCACTATGGCCCGGTCATCAGGAAGCCAGCTGTACGGGGATACTTTCTTGTACTTTTCTGGAATTTAACCATGTATGCACACTACTCTCTCTTCCTCTTTTACCCTCTAAAATCTCCTTGGTGATTGTTTCTTAAGGTGGACACTTCAGTCAGGAGTAAGAATAAAAACGTTCTCTCTCAGGCCAGGCCAACAGCCCACGTAGCCCTGCCTCTGGTTCTCCACCACCAGCAAAAGATACCACTTCAGGAGAGCACACAAGCTGAGCCACTTTGTGAAAGCCATTCCCCTCATCCTCCCCTGGCACAGAGGACTGTGCTAAGGATGCGAGAGGATACCTTCCTGCCTGGAGGAGACTGGCAACTTTCTTTTGAGGAATCTCTTCTAGTACACAAAGGAATGTCAGAAAATTGTTGAGCTGCCCAGATGAGAGGTACTAAATTCCCTTTCTCTCTTGCTGTCCCCAAGAGAGGTCACTTAACACAGCTGGGTATGCTGCACAGGGCACACCAGGGATTTTGCCCCAAGGGCAACCTCCACAACACGCTGGCAACCAGCTATGCCTACGGCATTGCTGAAGAAACCGTACAGCCTGCAACAATGAGGATCATGGGAGATTTACTTGCTAGCTCCTTGCTGTATTTTCCCTCTTCTCTCTAGTTCACACTAACCTTGATTCAGACTAGGCAGGGGGGACTTCCAAGGTATAGAATACAATATTAAAAAAAAAAAAAAGGGAAACCAAAAAAAGATTCAGGGAGTCTGAAGTCCCTCTGTTACTTTATCAGCAAAAGACCTCTTCTTACAATAACTACATGAGTATTTAATTTTCTGAAGGTCGGAGATTGGCATGCATTATAAACAGTCCATTACTCTCCAGTTTCTTGTGGTATAGCCTAAGACATCAGCCTAAGCTGCAGAGATCTTAAAATAGTAATCTAAAGGAAAACTCAGAAGAGATGTGGTGATTTCTTATTAACAAAGACTCAGACTTTAAAAACAGGTTTGAGTCAAGTGTACGAAGAGAGTGGTAAGCAGTTTAGTGCAGAATCATTCTTATCCAAGTTATGCACCTGAACTCGGGGAAACCCTCAGGCAGAGGAGGCTAGCAATCCCAGATGCCAGCCATTATGGAATCCCAGAAAAAAAGTACAGCACTAACTCCTCTGCAGTGAAACACTCATAACTGCACTACAAGTTACATTTGAACATCCAGGGAGGTATGTTTTTTAAATCAGCATCACCTGTAAAAGAGCAAATGATCCTTTCTCAAAGGACCTTAGGTTACAGATAAATTCCTTCCCCTGGTTCCATCTCTTTCCCTTCTGCCATGTAACCTTACTCCCATGGCAAACAAAGAAGCAAGAAAATGATACCATTATTCTTCCTTCAAAGTCCAAAAGACAAACAACAATGCTGCCTTACTTCTTGGAAACAGCTGTTTATTTTGTGTACACAACCATACACAACATTCACCAGTAAAGGAAACTGGTGTGTATCGATAAAACTTGCTTTAAAGCTGCTTATTGATAAAACTTGCTTTTAAAGTTTGGGCAAAGTAGGGCTGAAGAAACAGAGAACAGCAAGGTCACAAAAAGCTGGAGAGTCTATCCCTGAACACTGTGCACAAGGAAGGGCAAACCGTGTGCTTGCCAAACTGCACTGAACAGCAGCAGACTTCGCAATGTTCTTCCTGCTCTTGAACAGAAGAAACAGCACCTGTAGAATCAACCCCAGTGTAAAGAAGAGATAGTCTTGCCTGTGCCAGGACAGTGAGTTTGGGAGAAGGTCAACATTTTAGCTAAAGCCTCTTTTAAGCACCAGGGTAAGCTTCTTCAATTAATCAAGAATACTGGGGATGTTCTTCTGAAGCCAAAGTCCACTGTAGCTTAACGTAAGATTAATTGGCCAGGTGCTGTACTGCTTCTTTTGACAAACTGCAGGGAGTATGAGACTGATATCAGAGTGTCAGGAGGAGAGATCATCTGTTTACAGAGAGAATTTAATTATCTTTATTAGCAATTATCATCATCCTCAATTTGTATACAGCAGCTGAATGCAGTGACCTTAATCAGGTCAAAACTCTGTTGCATCCAGCCTTTTAAAAGTGCAATAAACTACATCCTGACAACAGGACACACAAAATGTACCAGGCCATGTGAGGACAGGAAAAAGCAGAAGGTAAAGAAATGGGAGGTTGTTTTAGCACAAAGTAGCTGCCAGTCAGAAAAAGCAAGCTCCTTTCCTGTCTTCCAGTGCATTGCTACAGAGGCCAACATTTGGCCAGAGACATATACTTAAAAATTAACAGATGCTTACCGTCACTCATATGCCATCTGCTAGCAGTCACATTAATCTCCAGGAACGCTCCCTGGCCTAAACCCTGGCTCCCCTGGAAAGCGCGGGGTTATTCCATCTCACTCAGGGATCAAAGCCTCATTGCCTGGGTTACATACACAAGGTCAAGGCAGGTGCCCTAGGGAATACATGGTCTACCTAACTTCAGCCACGGTGTCTGTGTATTTGTTGATTCATGCATACAGAACAATTGCATCATTTACTCATTACCTAAAAGTTGTAGTAAGTAGAAGACCTCAGGGTGTCTCCTTGCTTGCTGCTTTACTTTAGTACCATGAACTGACAGATAAAAGGTTTGTCATCTTCTGTACAACTGTAAGACTCAGAGCTTTGTAAACTAGGTGGTATTGATTCCACAAAAAAAGGACACAGCCCAAAACAGCTGAAATTGATGTCTACCTTGCTTCACTACACGACAAATTTAATCCCCTTAAGCCAAGACTATACATCCTGACCAGCAAAGCTCCATTTATTAGAAGAGCTACTTCCATTCCTGGCTCTGATGAGTACAAACACACAATTCTATTCTCTCGTTTGTGTGACAGTGTTCGGGTTTCCCCTGGTTCTCAGTGGAGATTAGGAAGGCTGAGCCACACTAATACACATAGATGTAAATCTGCACATGCACTAAGATAATTTACATCCCTTTCAGCTCCTCAAGGTAGACCAAGAGCACACACTATGAACTGCACAGGAGGAGGTGCTCTGGACATAGGTCTGTATGATCATCCATGCACACAGAGTCACTCACTTCTATTACAGTCTTGATCCTCAGCCATGAAACACCCGGAATGGCAACAAGTGACAAGTTTCATCCAAATTCATTATCCCCGTATAAGTTTGGGTATAAAGAGACCCAGTCTCTTGGTGCCTCCCCTCTTGCATTTCCTGAAGAAGTGAAATAATTCTGTCATGTCAGATTACTGTTTTGCCCAATAACTGACATTAGGCAACTGCAAAGTTTTCTTGAAACGACTCTCAAACTAACACATCAACAGTAACACCATTAAATTGGGGGATATCCAAATATTCTACAGCGTTCAGCTGCAGGAGCCATGCAGAAGTGCAAATGATCTTCCTCTGTGACCTCAGCCACTACAGGTCAAATTTAACATGCATCAGAATGGTTGGCAAATAGCACCAAGAAAAGAAAGCCAAACAGCAGCAGGCAACTTAGTGACCCTCCTGACTTCACGGGTAAGAATCTACATCCCTGGGGTGGGTAAGGGAAGCTGAAATTAATCACATGACCTACCTAAAGTAATGACAATTTCCTGTAGCATTTAACATTTCAGTATATTCAGTCTGATACATCAGTTACTCTGCTCCTTGGTATTGCAACACTAGTAATCATGAAAACTGCTGCAGCTGGTCTATGTGTCCTGCTCTAGTGCTACAAGAGCAGCTCTCAGTTCTTTTGGGATATCACTAGTCCCTTTTCACAAAAGGGGCTTTTCCTTTAGCCTCTCCAATATAAGTTCAAGTCACATACACAGGAATATTTCTTCCAGTGTCATTTTGATTCATATCAGGTTGCAAGGCCAGGAGACAAAAATGCCATTTACACAGAGCAAAGCTCTCCTGGCCAGGCAGGAGAGAGGTATTTCTTCTTTTTAAAAAAAGCAACCTCCTATACCTCCTATTCCTCTTTATTTGTTAGGGTCCTTCTACATCACATTATGTTTTACAAGACTGAAGAAATTCCATCACACATACATTGAAATGACTGTGTAAACTTTACCCTCCACACATATTTCAGATTTACATCACATAACCAAGCCCTACATGCAATCCCCAAAACAAGATGACTTTGAAACACCATTAAAACGATATGACAGCTTTCCAAAACGTGGTCAGGCATGTCTGTCTAAATGGTGGACTTTAAGAATCTCAAGCCAGGCAGTAGAAAGAGGCAGAACACATTCAAAATAAGTTGTGTTTTATATAAGAGATTGCGTTATTAGTCTGTGGTCTGCATCTGTCTCAAATGTTTCACCTCGGTTCCATCAAACATACAGGAAGGGCAACATGGTATAAGAAAAGCTGGTGGCTTTGGGATGTAGTATTTCTAGGCTGATGAAACAAGCAGCTAAACAGAATTCATGCAGGTAATTTAATGACTATTGTGGAGATTGACAATTTTGATACTGCTTCCTATTCTAATAAACCAGCTTTTCTCTACATATTAAACACCTATTAGCTAAGTTTTCTCACTTCCTTTCGGTCACTGAGATTAAACACAGGCAAAAGCATCAAAAGGTGACTCCCTGAAACGTAAACTCATGTTCCAACTAAGCAAAGGCTCCTTAGCCAAGGCTTTGTTAAGATGATTCCTGACCACACATCCAGCTTCCCTGGGCTGTGCATTTATTCTTCCAGGCAGGGACGTGCACAGGTTCTGAAGAACAAGCCATTGTTCACTCAGACCAGATGGAGAAACTGCTGCTAGATGGTTTTAAATCTCTTCTGAAACAGCACAAATCAGTTTGCGTTACATAGCAAATACATGGTTTAGTACAGACATCTTAAACCAGCAGCTGGGCTACCGAATGGGTCACAATGCAGGGATGAGGCTACAGCAGTCCACAGATCCCCTGGATGGGAGGTTCACTTGTCAGCAGGACCTAAATGGCAAGGGTTTTCCTCCCATCACATGGTGGAACAAGAGAAGGGTGAGCTGCTCTTCACTCCCACCTTGCAGCTATTCATCCTTGATAACTGAAGTCTAGGGATTAGAAAAAACTCTTCCCTTGCCCTCCTCCCCTCTTTTCCCCTAGTCTCCTCTAAATGAGGAGAATATGGGAGTAGTAAGAATGGCTGTAAATTTTGCAAAGGAGTTGATGGCTTCACAAAAATGAAATGAGTATTCAGTGGCCATTTGTGCTTCCCCCAAGGTTCACATCAGGGCAGCACTAGGAAGGCATGAGGTAATCCCTCTGTTAGGAAACTGTTTTCAAGTTGACAACACTCCTGGCTCAGTAACAATGGCCTCAGCTGATGTTAAGGTGCACCTGTATCCCCAGGGCACACAGATGAACCAGGGGGTTTGTTTACCAGCAGCCTCATTCAATTCTCCTGCCAAGATTTGCGAGGCATGAGAACACAACAGCTCCATTTTAAGAGTGCCTCTATGTCCTGGCAGCCTCTGCAGCCCCTTCCAGTTCCTATTTACCTCATCCTACCCCGGAGGATAGGAAGTTCCCTTACTCACAGCTCAAGGATGAGGACCACATCTGTCTTGTTCTCATAGATGTCATGCAACTTGATGATGTTGGCGTGCAGAACCTGTTGCAGAATAGTAACCTCCCGTTCGATTTCCTCACGTCTCACACCACGACGGCTGGCCCGACTCTGACGTTTTTTAATGAACTTAGCAGCATACTCCATACCGGTGCTTTTTTCTCTACACTTCTTCACTATAGCAAACTGGCCACTGCAAGGACAAGAAGATAACAATAATTCTCTTAAAGCTTTCATGTAATCACAGCTACCCAAAAAAGCCATTCATATACAAAGCTTGATCTTTCAACGCCTGAGCTAACCATACAAGCCTGCTCTTGGTACAATAGTGGGGACTGTCAGAATTCTGAATTTAAAGTCACTAGAGTGTAACCAGGTAACCTCCTGCTGTGTCTGAAATTTAGCAAAACCAAGTAGTGTCTGACAAGAAGGGAGGACAAATGTTATAATCTCTAAAAAAACGGTTCATGTTTAAATGAGTAAGATCTGTCTCAAAAGGTTCAAATTACCACTCCTTCATTGGGTAATGATTAAGGCATTCAAGTTGGCAACACACCACTGGATGTTCTGAAAGGACATGCATGCATTGAAGTATTTCCCTTAAGAATAAACTCTCGGAAGAGAACTCAAAGGATTGATAGCCCTTTGGAAATGTAGAACTGGCCTCCAGTAACCAATTTCCAAATAAGAGAATGGTGAACTTCCCACTGTACCAAATAGTAAAGTGGCTGAATTAATGTTTAAAAGGCATGTAGCTGCCATTTGCCAATTTAATTTTCCTCACTGTGGCTCCTAAAGTAAGATATTCCAGTCCAACTGTAATATTTCCTCCTTATCTCCTAAGAGGGAAACACTTGGAGATCAGATGATTAACTCAAATAATAGTAACCCTGCAGGTTGCAGCCTTATGTCAGTGCAGTGGTGGGAATCTTTAAAGATGAGACAGCTGTTACTGACTCTTTAATAGGAGTGTAGAAGACCCTGCTTTGTTCTTCCTTCTATGAGCTTTTCTTTCTACATCATGCTCTTGAGAGGCACTGTTTGGACTTAGAGAAGGCACGATCTCCACAGGGCTGATGTTCCCTCCTTCTCAACTGTCTTCTGAAAAAATAACTGTAATCAAGCTGAGAGATGTCTTCTCAAAAATAAAAAAGAAAGATGGTCTGCAGTTAAAGCAGTATTTGAGTTATACAAATTCTACATAAGGCAAGGATGTGGAATGAAACAATGACTATTCAGAGGATCCTTTTGCTCATACCATTTGGAAGGGACAAGGACAACTGTATTGTACCTTAGAAATGCTTAATCACACTAAAAATCATCACAGACATACAAACAAGGCAATTAAATCACAAGCTATCACTATGTGTTTGCATTTGGTTTACACAGGACATGTTAAAAGAGTTACTTCTACCTTATAAAAATTATGGGAAAAGGATGGTCTGTAGCTAACGTACTGGAGGGATTTGAGCGATCTGAATTCTGACATAAATGTACCATATATCGTATACTTCAGCTATTCACTTTTGCCCCACCAGCAAAACAGGAAAGAGACTTACTTTCTTCCACACAGTATGCCTACAGATATTCGTATACTACTTAGCACAAAGGTGTCTATGTCAGTTTCCTGCTACTGTAACAGAAATATTAAGAACAACCAGTGCTGTGCCATGCAATGTAATAGGCTCTTGTCCAAAGCGACTCCAAAAAGCAGATAAAAATCACACTTAAATAGAAAAACATTTCTTGTCATGAAGAATCACTCAGGTAGATTTATTTAAATGCTTTTTTGGTTTGATTTAAATTTGCAATACTCAAATTAAGCAAAGAGTAGTGGGCATGTAGATTTAAATATATATTAACTCCTTAGGTTGATTAATGAAAATACCTAAATACTTGTAAGTCTGAAGTTACGTGAAACTTGTACGGCCTGAGGTTTCATCACACTCTGAATTTAAACTACCCTTTACTGAACTCAAGTTAGGATGAAGATTTTTCACAGTACTCCTGCAAAGTTGCCTTGTTTGGACACAAACACTCCCCAATTCTCAAGCTTTACTCAGATCTTAAAAAACTGAAACTCACAAACTGACAAGTTTTAAAAAAAGAAAACCTGGGTTAAAGCACAAAAAGCACTGATGTTAATTCTTTCAAACAAAACTGATGCGGACCCACTGCTCTCCTAGCTCAAGCAACCATGAGGAGTAAGAACATTTATCCTGACAGAAACTTAAGTCAGACCAAACATGAAGTAGGTCAGTCCATTCCATTCAAGATGAGTTCCATTCACTTACTGCTCACTCTCATTGCTCAGTAGGAATCCCAGTATTTTCACTGACTCAGTGATTTCCGTAACTTTCATACAGAGTATTAAAATAACCTACACTAATTTTTAAACAAATATATACGTTCTGATGAATGTTCTTGCACCTAATGGTACTTTACCTTCCCATAACTATTAGTGCAGACCTGGGCATAATGATGTGTAAAGTACATAATAAAATGGGGCACTGAATTTGGGCTGGTGGAAAACAAGGAGTTAGTGGGCAAGTGTTGTAGTGGCAAGAACAACTGTCAGGAAAATTAGTAGCTGCATTCAAAGATTGTGTTTGATAAGTTTGATGGCAGGCTGTTGCTGACAAGTCTTAGATCAGTATCTCTGCAATAAAATCTACAAGAGTATGAATGGAAGGAAAAGTTAACTAGTTCTGTTTGGACACTAAAGGACCTCATAGCTCACCTGAGTACATCTGCGACTTCAAGTAGCAACAACAGCTTATTACCACCCTAAACCTTCTCTGCCAGAAACTGTAAGCTGAGGGTTACTTCTTGTTCTTTATTTTTCCATTGCTAGATTACAGGAAGGATTTATCAAACTCCCTTTTAGCAGAGGGAAAGAAAAAGAAAAGAGCATGGAATCCACCTTGCAAATAGGACATGTATGTACTGTTACAAACATTACTGTGGTGGTGAAGCACACCAGGTAGCTGGAGAACTGAGCCTATGGACAAGGTCATGCACTTCAGTCTGCTTTGTTTAAGTGTACAATGCATTTTCTGGTAACAGTGAGATGAAAAATTGGCAAGCTGTAAAGACAGAATAGAACTTCAGTTAAACAACATGTGGCTAAAACTACTGCTTCATGGAAACTGCCTTTTGTTTTGGCAACTGATACCAAAAGTGTCAGGGGTATGCAGGAAGAGGCTGTTGGCCGGTATCTGCAGAATCTTGGTGATTTAGAGGCAATGAACCCCAGCTCAAATCCACGCTCTGCCCCTTTTGACAGTAAGTGGAATTAAAAAAATGTAAACTTTAAGTCTACCATGTGTACTCCACATCCTAACCAAGCATTGCTTAGTCAGAAAAGGCTCAGCTTTTATCAATGAAGAGAATCATACTTCTGCAAAAAAGCATCAAAAATATTTCACTGCATTTTCACCAAGAAGCAGAAATAAGTTTTTAAAGCTCTAGGAAGCTATACGGCCAGGAAGCCACAGTCAACAAATAAGGCAAGGAAGCTTCTAAGAACAGTGCAGTCAAATAGTTAGCCTTGCCTGGCATGTGCAAAGCCTAACAGGTATGCAAGATCCTACCCCGAAAGAACTATCTTATCCAAGCCTTTATCTCATAACATCCGTGAGGCTCTGCTGATGTCCAGCTACTTTACAAATGCACAAAACAAGACAATGAGCTCCTTTTTATACCCAGGAGCAGCCCTGTTATCCCCTGCCACAACGCACTGTATGTCTGAGATCTCACTCTACAAAAAGCGGCAAGTCTCCCGTCTCAGAACACACATTTAGTATCAGATATTTCCTTAGTCAGGGCATTATATCCAGACTTGCAAGGAAAAGGCTCATCTTACACATAACCTTAACCTTTAGCTACTGTGATTTTATCAGCCAGGATCTCTCTATAGAATCACAAACACACACATTAAGTGCAACCCCCCATGACTACATTGTAGAAGCACTGAGCTGTTATTGTTTTCAATATTATTATATCCTTCACTGGCTCGGTAAATGAGAGATGCAAGTACAGTTGGAATTTAAATTATGCAGCATACACAGCAATTATATTCAGAACCTTATAATTATATAATGTACTTAGTGCTTCATTAACACAGACAGCTGGTTGGAGTCTGTCTTAAACCTACAAAGGCAAAGAAATCAAAAATTAAGGCTGTCATTTGGTGCTTGCTTGCTCTCAAAAGCAAACACTCCATGGCAGAGGCAGCCTCTCATTTCAAAGGGTTCAAACAATGCCAGACAGCTCAAAGTACTTCTTTTTTTTTTTTTTTCATACATATCCTAAACACTTTTCAGGAGAAAGGTCAGAATGGATGGGACAAGTGTACTTATCCCTTTAGGAATAATCAATCACAAATGGAATTGAAACTGCAGCCATGTGTCAAATTCATGAATTCATTCCTAAATCTGCCTCCTGATTTTATCACTGTGTGCAAATCCTAAAGAACTTAAGATAATTAAATTCCTGCTACAAAATCCCCAAACTTACCTTAAACATTCTGCTAAAAGATTTTGCTCTGTAGTGCTGAGAGCTGTTTGTGTAAAACATAGTGGGTTTCATGGTTGTTTTTTTTTTGTTTGTTTGATTGTTCATTTTTTGCAAGACGTGCATCTTATTTGGTTCAGACTTCCTAAAGAGACATGCTACTAATGCCGCTTCCTTGAATTCTCTCTGGGGACATGAATTTTACCAGAAAAGTTCAAGGAGAAAATATTATTTTATGAGTACTGATCATGGGAATGAACACAGTCACTTTTGTATTTAAAAAGCCCAGTGATACTGTGGATTTTGTACATTTCTGTTTACTTAAAAGCTTACCAAAATAATAATGACACAGCATAGGAATGCCTCTCTTTTCCTTTTACACACTTATAGTCTGGGACAATTGTTCATAACAATACCCATTCCCTTCTACTATTTCCTTCCTGCATGTGTACCCACAAATGCACGCTCTACCCACTGCTGTCCCTGTCTTTATGACATTTTCTTTATCCCTTAAAAACAGGATTTTGCAGACAGTCCTTCCTGAGACAGTTTGTGACTGAGTAGAAGAGATTACAAGCCACAGGGAAGAATAAAAATGCACGATTTCTTAGCCTAGGACATTTAAGACAGTTACAATTTAAATACCCATGATACTGTCCAAACCCCACACTTCCCTAT